ACAGACTGTAAATATTTATTTGTTTGCTACCAAATTTTAGAAAAACCTAAAATCACTCCTTTGGAGGAAGCCCGCAGATTTATGATCGATTGCCTTGAGGCAGTAGGAAGTAATCAATCGCATGCTGAAATAGTAGCTGATAACTTATTAGAAGCAGATTATAGGGGACATTATAGCCATGGAATGAATAGATTAGGTGAGTAACAGAAGATAATATATTTAAGTCACTTCCAAAAATAAAGCAGTTGAGAGGCAGGCTTTTTCTAGACACTCTCCTATAGGACTTTGATAAGCTAGAAACATCGATGCCTCTAGACACCTCTTAATGCCAACTAGAAGGTTTTTGACAAGTTGAGAGGCAGGTTTCTCTATGTCCCTGGAGGATGCATGATGAATCAAATAAGACCTAAGTATTGTAAATCAACCCATCCTTCCCCACTGTACAGATACAGGTATTCTTAAAAGATTTTGTGTCTTTTTAGATACCTTTTATACAAGATTTTGGGTTTAAGTGGTTTGGATTTTATTGTATAAGCACAGCTTATTGTTGATTGTATAATTTCGTGGAGCCTATAATTTCGTTGATTGTATAATTTCGTGGAGCCTATAATTTCGTTGATTTTGTTTGAGTTAAAGGTACTGTTATTATTTTGGTGACTCTTTAGCTATGAGTAGAATGAGTGAAAAAAAAAGACATCATTCTGTTTGTGCAGTCAAAAGCTGTTTTAATAAGGGTTATACCTGCAAGAAAACATTCTTTAGTTTTCCCAAGGACCCAAACCGATAAGTACCACATTATAAGAAATTTTCATTGTTAAAAATATAATTTATACAGGGTATCCCATTAGTGCGTTATTGTTCATTATTTTGTTGTAGACACGCAAGAAAGTTTTAAATAAAAGTTATATGGATTTGAAAAATACCTACATATTTTAAAAATATCTTTGGATATACAGGGTGTCACGTTTTTGCCTGGCAAATTAAAATGTATGTTTTTTAAATGGAACACCTTGTATTTTATTTTATGATAAAATTATTAACTCCCTAAATTATTGTAAAGACGAATTGATACAGAAAAGTTTTATCAGGTATGTGTGTGGTTACCTTTTAATAAAAGCCTTGCGGATCCACTCCTCTGCGATACCTGTCTTAAATATAACAAAGATCACGTTGAATTAGATGATTTTTCTTTTTATTGCTTTTTAAAGGCATATGATAACTCCAATCCAGATACATTTGGAAATCTGCAACTGTCAAATGATGAATTTGTAGAACTAATATTCAATATTGAAAAGATATTTCAAAATAATTTTGAAGAATTGGCTACAAAAAATAACATTTGTACCACACTTTTAGAATTAATTAACCCAATACCCTTTAGTCATCCATGCTAACGTTTTCCAAAAGAATAACTTATTTTATTGTATGTTTAATCTCAATAACTAAAAAATATACTGACAATTAGTTTGACAGAATTGTCATTTATTTAAAATTTTAAAAATAATAGCAGTCGGTTGATTAAAATATGAATGGTGATTGGCGAATTTATTTTTTTTTTGCAGTGTTCTCACTACCTAGAATGGATATGAAATATATTCGTTCAATTGAAGGCAATAGCATACTTTTTCGTTTTGTAATCTGTGCATGGATATTAGTCAATCTATGCACATACTACAAAACGAAAAAGTATGTTATTGCGTTCAACTACGAATATATTTCATATCCATTTTAGGTAGTGAGAACACTTTAACAAAATTAAATCTACAAATCACAGTTCATATTTTGGTCACCCAACTCCTATTATTTAAATTTTTTTAAATAAGTGACAATTCTGTTAAACTAATTGTCAATATATATTTTAGTTATTGATATTAAATATACATTAAAATTTTTGTGTAGACTACATGATACTAATTTAATTACGAGTATTAAAACTAAAGTCCTGAAAGTTTCGGTGAAGATGAGGACAGGGCATCTGCCTTCCACTCGAAAAGCCCGGGATCGAATCTAGGCCGAGGACTAATTAATTTTTCATGTTAATTTTATTTTATAAATTAGTCAACTTCGTAAATTATTTTAAAATTAGTTATTTTGTCTAAATAACCTAAAATAATTTTTTAAATTTGTAGATTTTCGTTAGTGGGTCGTAGAAAAAATATACTGACCATATCGAGTGGATTGTTCATATCACAATCAGACGATTGAGTACTCCGCATACGACGTCGTGCTCAAACTTCGTCTTTGTGTGATATTGCTATCATATCCACCCTTGTTGAACAAACTATAATTTATTTGTTTTCTTGGTTTAAACCAAAACTTAAGTTTTACATCAGAAATAGGAACTAAATTAATTTACTTTTCAAGTTTTCTTGTAAAAATCGATATTACTTTCTCCAAGTACAAATTTAGTACCTTCCTAAAATAAGTACTAATTATGTAATACCGTGTAATATTGTAATTCAAATTTCACATTACTATAAAGTTTCAAAATTCCCTACGTATGGTCAGATAAAAATTGAATATATTATATTAATAAAAACTGTCAAAGTATTACTTCTACAAATCTGTATTTCAATTAATAAGAATACATCTAAATATAACCAATATTGTTAAAATAAAAGCACAAATTCTTTATAATTCCAAAATACCATAGAGTACCCAGACCTCAGTCGAAGCATTCGTTTATCTAGGTATAAACCATTTGCGCGAAGAGTAACACTTGATTTGCATCCACGAGCGTGACACAATTCTTTAACAATTGAAGCCCTTGGTGTAAAAAGGATCCAAGCCACAATTTGTCGTGAAGTGACTGTTTTAGCTCAAAACATTTGTTAACGAGGATTTTACTAGCCACATACAAATTATTTTACCTCTAATCCGAAAGATGTACTATTTTTCGTAATATTTATATTTAAATAATGTTTCTAATTATATTTGACAGATTTAAAACAAATTAAAAATTTAATTTCCCAAAACTTACTTAATATGGCATGTAACCAACCTTATTACGCCAAGGTTTTCAATTTTTTCAATAATAAAAAAATTGTTTAATCCGGGCCCGACTTTTCCCTCGAATCTAACAGAGATAGCACCATTCCGTCTTGCTTGGTTCTCGACCGCCAGATCAAAGACGCCGACACGGAGTTGTGGAGCTGTATTGTATAAGCTGTGGTATAAGTATAGGTATTGTGAGGTAATGACAATTATAAATTATGTTAAAAAAATTATTTTGAAGGCGCTAACTTCAGAGAGCTCAAATAGCCTTAAAGGCCATTTTCGGATAAAGGTAATGTAGGTTATTTCCTAATAAAATCAAGTCTAATATCTGAGATATACGTATCACAAGAGAGTTCTGGAACACTCTATAATTTTGTTTTAATGCTAGTGTTTATTATAGTATTTGTTTTTAGAAATGTACTTAAAAGACGTTGAAACTGGTCTTGCAAAACCAAACGCCGTCCCAATAGTAGAAAAAGAGACTGTAGCAACAGCTGTAGTCAATGCAAATAACGGATTTGGAGCAGTAAGTGGAAAATTTTGCATGGATCTTGCTATACAAAAAGCAGAAGACGCTGGAATTGGGATAGTTACATGTCATTGTAAGTTACTTTTAGTAAAATAGTGTTGCAATCTACTAAAGTTTATTAAAATCATAATTTTTGTACAGGCCGTAGATAGAACATAAAACACCGTGCATGTGCATCCGCTTTACCACTTCTCTCACCGACCAATCACAGTACGTTATAGTACGTCATATGTCATTACAATCGCGAAAAGTAATTTTTTGATTGGTGACTACAAATTCTTCAAATTAATATAAATTTCCAAAGTATGTGGTAAAAAAAAGCTGAACGCTGAACGCTTGCTACAAAAATCTGTCAAAAGCGGCAACGAACATTTCGCTCAAAATGCACACAATATTTTTTCTACGATCACAATGTTTTAAGAAATGAATTTCATTAGCATGTAACTGAACTCAAATAACTAAACAAAAAAATCTATATTTTACATTTTATACAGGGTGTTTCATTGGTAAACGGACAAGCGGTAACCGTGGACGAGAAACATCAAAATAATTCTAAAAAATCCTTAATTAATGGGTCTCACAAGTGCAATATAACAAGCCAGTTAAGTGTTACTTCAAAGGAATATGCAATGTCTGATAATATTGACGATTTTGAGAAAGTAAATGTTATTGAAAATGATCATGATTATTTACCAGATCCAGTCTCCTCCTTTTTTAAATATATAATCACTTACATTTCTGGATATGTTGTTTATTATTTAAAAAAGAAAATCATTTGTGAACAATGTCTAGATGCTTTAATAAGTAAAACTAGAGATTTGTTTCTATTTTCATTCATTGATATAAAGAATAAAAATGGTTTGCAATATCCATCGGAAGATGTAATAAACATTTGTTTAAAATGTGAAAAAATATTAAAAATTATGAAACTCTAAGAAAAAAATATCAGTTGATATCATCAGCACATTAGTTTTAAAAGAATTCATAAATTCTAATGTCTTTTCGAATATTATGCAGCACAGTTTGGACCAGTTTGTGTTGGATAATCATAGAATATTATTAATCAAGTGCATAGTTGATAAATATGTTAGTATAATCAGAAAAAGTGGTTAAAGTTTTCTTTTTGTAATCACAAATCGCAACTGAATGCCTAATTTTAAAATAAATTATCTCTATAATTCCATTTGTATAGTTGTATGCTGTGCATCTGTGAGATTGTTGTTTATTATACATAGGTACCAATTATAGAAATCTTTAGTAAGTACTTGCTTGCAATTTTAGTAATATATGTACCTACCCTAGTTGTAATTCTGCATACGGACTTTAATTATATTTGAATACGACCCTGCTTAGTCAACCATTTAAGCCACGCCCAGTGGGGTCATTTTTAATAAAACGTATCATATGCAAAACAATTGCCTCATGGCATCTCCATTAGTATTGTACCTCCATGCTCTACACTCACTTTGAACTGACAGCTATAAATATTTTAATTATTACAGATAGTAACTGCGCTAAATTAGAAATTTAAAATGTAGAGTCGGTGCCTTAGATAAACATTGTTAATCTAAGGTTGGTGCCAATCAGAGACTGTCCTTTCTGTTGTTGTCTCTTTTTAGTGTACTCAGTTTATAATGGATCACCCCAAGAACATAACTTATTGATTAAAAGACAAATGGGTAACATTGCTGTCATCTACGGGAAAATCCAGCCATTCATTGACAGTTTGATATTATAAAATTATTTTTTATAAATGTCAATCGTTTATTAAGCAGCTAAAATAAAATGCTGAAAATTGAAAAACTGCTTGATAGAACTACCGATTTAAAACCTCTTAAAGCCATAGTTCTTGGTCCACCAGCTTCAGGAAAGACATCGTTAGCTCAAAGACTTTGTCGACATTATGGCGCGCATTATGTTAACGTTAAGACAATGATCGACGAAACATTGCAAGAACTAAGCGAAAGCATAGAAAGAGCAAAAGAAACATTACTGCAAATTCAATTAAACAAAGAGAAATTTCATGGAACAGAAGGTGAAGTAGAAGAAGAACAACTCGGTGAAGATACAGATGACGATATAAATACTGTTATTATTGAAGACTGCCAAGATCAAATAAATATGATAACAGATACAATGGAAAATAGCGAAAATAAAAAGTTACCAGACGAGATGGTTTGCCGCCTGATGAAGAACTTCCTATCAAACCCCATTTGTCAAACGCGAGGGTTTATTTTAGACGGTTATCCAAAAAGTACGGAACAAGCAATAGAACTGTTTGGTATAAAATCTGTAAAAATTCAAGAAGTTGCTGAAGAATCTCTTAAACCAGAGAGTATAATACCAGGTGAAGGTGCGTCTCGCGATGTAATGGACGCTCCACGAGATAGTGTCCCAACCTATAATATTCTAATCAAACCTGACTATGTCGTTGGTCTTGATGCAAGTGATGAATATCTCTGTCAACGAGTAATGAAACTTCCACAAAAATTAGTTTTCGGTACACATTTCGACGAAGTTGGTATGCTTAGAAGATTAGCAGAATACCACGAACATAACCAAACAGATAATTCAGTGTTAAAATTTTTCGATGATAATGACATTAACCCCATAGTGATAAATTTAATAGATGAAGAAACTTTAGAAGAACTTACCTTAGATGATATCTATGACATGATTTGTAATATTTTCGGTGAGCCTATTCCTGGCTTTGGATTAACAGCAGAAGAAGAAGCAGCTATTCGGAAATTAGAACTGGAACAACTCAGATTGTTAGAAGAAGAACAACGATTGGAACAGCAATTAATGGAGAAGAAGGCGAAGAAGGAATACGAAGAAAAAATGGAAAAGTGGAATGAAACTTTAGAAAAGTTACAATTGGAAGAAGAGAAAGTTTTAGCAGCACAAAGTGAACCTTTGAGATATTATTTGATGAAATACATATTTCCTACCTTATCCAAGGGATTAGTTGAGGTCGCTAAAGTTAAACCAGAAGATCCAGTTGATTTTTTAGCTGAATATTTATTTAAGGAAAACCCTGAAGGAAAAATGTTTGATCCTTCGTATACTCGCGAAGGAGAAAAGATATTACAACAATATGAAGAAGAAGTTAAACCTATTGCTGATTTGGCAGAACACATTGAATAAATGTTATATTTTTTTTTAATTAAAAAATGTTAGATTTCTAAATATAGATATACTACAAATTAATTAAAAACCTTACAATTCATCAAACAAATTTTTTAGCTAAAATTAAAGAGGTTAGAAAGAGTAGAGGTAACATAGAAAGCATTTGGCGCTGCGCGAATTTTGCCAAAACCTCCGAGCAATTACTAATAGAGGGAGCGTGAAAACGAGTTTGTAGGCGATTGTTGTGTTAGCAACATCTGTAAAGGAAGGGGAAGGTAAACATCCTTCTAGTTCAGTGGCGTATCATTTATCTATAAAAACACACATTGTCCAAACGTTTTAATTATAAAAAACAACTAAAAAATTTGCTGATTTTACTATTTTTAAAATGAATACCGTCTTATATGTGTCTAAATGCAGGAAATGAAACAAAATCACTGTAAAGGTCTAATTTTTTCAATTGAAGAATAAAACCTTAAAATCAATTTTATTATAAATAAATACAGGAGTGACTAGTTTCGGCCTTACAGGAACATCTTCAGGCATGTAATACAATAATCTTTAATTATTATAATAGGTTTGTCACTTACGAATAACATTAAATAGTATAAACCACAAAAATGGATCCATATTGTAGCGTTACAGAATTATAGAATTAAAGCTGTGAAAAGAAAAGAGCAGTGCAAAAGTAACTAAAAATAAGAAAACTGAGTACGGAATCTACAAGAGAATGAGCAATTACGAATGCATTTAAATTGCTAGGGATAACAAATAAAGCTGATAATGTAGTGGTATAGTCCCCGTCAAAGAAGGTCTGGATATGTTAAAGAGGACGGCGTTTTCTCTGTAAATCTGGAGAATGTAAGGATGGAGGGAAGACGAATCTTGCTGGCTCAGGTGTAGATGGCTAGAAAAAGGAGCGTATAGATGAAAGCTCCAGTGAATATCGTTACTTTCGTTTAATTTTTTATTCTCACTCACCGTTTCGGCTTTATCTTCGAAATTAATTTTTAAACAACATGAATTCATTATATTTAATAAGCTAATAAACGTTTGTTTCAATGAAAGAAACATATATGTGAATATAAAAAATATATAAATAGATAAGATTAATATCAAAATCAATTTGAAAATACAACAGATAATAAAATGAAATAAATTAATACAAGTACAAATAGAAAGTTAATAACATACCTTCTAAAAGTAACACATTTTAAGTAGATAAATGTTTAAAGAGCTTATTCCTGAACATAACTAATCTAACGTTTTTCCCCTTTTTAATGTTATGAGGGTTTTTGTAGTTGAAATGAAAATTATAATTTATTTTAATTTATTTATTTAATATTTATTTATTTATTTATTTATTTAATAAAAATTTAAACATAGGTTATCAAAGAGTAAAATACATAATAGAACTTCATAATCTTAAACCTTTATCAAAAATTATTAATGGTAAAACTTCAAACAATAATTAGATTCTTAAACAAATTTCTAGTTTTTGTTTTGCAAAAGACTTTTTTGCCTTCTTCGGTTGCCTCTGCCACTTTTCTTTTAGTAGTTTCGAGGAGAATTTTCCTATGGAAACCAGTAGAACCATCAATTGGTTGGTAAAATTTTGATATTTTGGGTCTGGTAAGTCTTGTTAAATTTTCTTCTTAGGAAGCTGTAACCTTATGGAGAATAAAAATTTAATGTTAGATCAAAAGCTCTTAATTGAGAATTATATTTGCAAAGGCCGTTTTAATAATATTTTCAAAAGTTCTTGGAATCGTTGTTAACAGAAACTGCAAAAAATATATCATTTTATTCCTATAATATAAGGTATCACACAATGCACATTCGTATAATATCATTGTGCTAGAAATATAATAGGTAGTTACTGAGACAATTTAAAAAAAGTATTTCGAGAAACTCAACTTTTAATGTCATCATTGTACTTAACTTTTTTATTGCTAAATTATTAATAATGTCATTTTGTGTAGTTCGTTGTGATTTGTATAATATTGTTAAGAGTGAGATTATAGGCCCTTTTGACTGACCCTTAAGCCCAATTTGTATTTAAATTGGCCTCTAGACAACACACGGCTAGGGGGTTAAGTTCAAATGGAACCCTAACTTCCTGACGATGATTCAGAGAGGCGAGGAAAGGGTTTGCCCTACAGGGACTATTACCTTTGGCAGTATCTCTCTCTTTTTCTCTCAGAGATCTGACTAAGCCAGTACCACCGCCTTTGAATGATCGTGAGGTTTCATAAACCAAAAAAATTGAAACAACAAGCGTAAAACAAATAACTATGATTTATTTAATAACTATAGAAACAACTATTATTACTTAAGCAATTCAGCGGTCTCTGCTGACTACACAAAACTAAATATTACTATTCAAGACTATTTACTTACATGAACATTATATTTTAATCCTTTAGGCTGCAGGGCTGGCTGAGGCACAGGTTACTTTTCCCACTGTGTGGCTTTACAAAAAAACTAACTGCGATTTTGCATTACCGACCCGTGATTCTACTTTCAGACACCAAACAAAAAGGAATATCCGATCGTCAACATAGGCCAAAAGGAACTCCCCGAATATCCACTTGAAAAGTCCCAAGAGTGTTTTTTGTTGATCTATTTTGACCATTTTAATATTATGATTTAATAAAACCTTGTCCAACTACACGTTTTATTATTTTATTGAATATTTGTTTGGCGCGCTTGCCCTTGGACAAAACTTTACAAATCATAACATACTTATTCACAGGGTGTTATATTTATTCGTAACAATATATATTATAAAAACATATCGTCAATGTTAATGTGCCAAGTTTTTTTAATAATTATGTCCTTGTTATAGTAAAACACATTTTTAAAGTTTTCTGGATTTCTGCTTTTAATTATCGTACAATTGAACTGACTAATTGTGTGTTTAAGTAAAGGTATATCTATTTTTTGTTATAACAGTAAGACATCTTAATATATCCTATTTCACCAACAAAAATGTAGAATAATTAATCTCACATCAAACGAAAAAAGTCATTTTAGGATGTCCTAATGAATGTTTTTATACCTGACTATAGCACCAGACAAACATTTTTTTAGATCATAATGATCTGCATAACTCAAAATAGTCAAAATCCACATTATTTAAGTTGTTCTAGTATTGTTTTAGCATAACGATGTAAACTCCAATAATAAATATTCACATTTATTTGGGACGTTTTTTAAGGAAATTAAAAAAAACATGAATAATGTGATATTCTTATTTAGTTTTGTACTATATAATATAGTTCATTACGTAGTGATTTAGAAGCAAATTATGTTCTATTTATAGAATAAAAAATCACTCATAATATCTAAATTTTTATACCCATTTATATTTTGGACAGAAAGACTATTTTATGTTTTTGGCTCTGAATAGTTTTCTTAAGAATTTTAAAACCTTCCTTAGCTCTTTTGGGATATTCCATGCATATCTTAGTAGTTCATTTTGTTTAAACCTAAAACAAATTAAGTAAAAAAATGAAAATTTAAACAATACACAAAATTAGTCTTTTAGATTAGTTAAAAAAAGTGTCAACAAAAAAATGGCTATGCCTTTTTCCTTAAACATTCTTTTTGAGAGAAACTTAAGTTTCTCTACTTACTTGCTGTTTTAGTATTTTAGTAGCAGATGAATATATTGTAGAAGTAGTGACAGGATTGATTATTATACTTCTTTCGTCGAAATTGCATTTTTCTTTAATATTTTCCTCTCCTGAGGTCTGTAATAAAAATGTTCATTAGCATAAAAAGTTATTCAGGTGGTCACTTGTTGAATTCCTATATTTTGGAACCATGTTGTTCTTTCTCATATCAAGAAAAGGAAACCTAAAAAAAAATAACAATAAACTTTACAAAGATGTGATATTAAAATAATAATAATAAGTAATTAACCTTTACTATAATCATTATGAGACGGATGAAGACGAACTTAGCTGGAGTTTACTTGCTCTTAATTTTAATTTTTCGATAAGAAAATAAGAAAGTTTAATTACAAATCAAAGGTGATTGCCTAATGCACCGCCGTTGATAATTAGGTTGTGTCTGTATTGTATTAAATTGTATTACATATTATTAACTATATTTTTGGTTATATTATCATGATTATTTCAGATGCCAATCACTACGGAATCGCTGGAATTTATTGTCTTCAAGCTATGAAAAAAGGTTATATAGGATTTTCCTGTACCAATACTTCTCCATTGATGGTTCCAACTAGGGCAAAGAAGGTAAATTATAATATTTTAAAATTTTATTATCATCAATCTATTCGCGATGGTACAAGTCAACAGTGACGTTCATAGACTTAACTTACCAGAACTAGAAAAAGATTAAAAACTTGGTTAGAAGTCTAAATGTAGTATGGTAACAATGACTCATTGTTATTTTTAATTTGATTTACAGGCTGCACTGGGAACAAATCCAATTGCTTTGGGAGTTCCAGCAAATGATGGAGATAGCTTTGTTCTGGATTTTGCAACCACAGCTGTCGCAGTAGGAAAGGTAATATTATTCCTTTTATTCTTATATATGAATTAGTTTTCGGTGCTAATGGTGTACCTCACGTTCTTATATTTTACTAATTTATTCCAATTTTATTTTTTAGTTTGTTCCTACCTTTTCTTATTTTATAAACACCTGTCGTTTTGCTTGACCCACTCTTATTCTACCTATCTCTTACAAGTTTTTATTAACTACTATTATAATCCATAATACTCAAATTGGTCAAATCATTACAGTAATGTATAACAGTTAATTATTACAGTTAATTATTACAGTTAATTATTACAGTTAATTATTACAGTTAATTATTACAGTTAATTATTACAGTTAATTATTACAGTTAATTATTACAGTTAATTATTACAGTTAATTATTACAGTTAATTATTACAGTTAATTATTACAGTTAATTGTTACAGTTAATTATTACAGTTAATTATTACAGTTAATTATTACAGTTAATTATTATAGTTAGTTATTATAATTATTTATTACATTACAATTATTACACATGTGAAATCATACTGTTGTAATTGTTGTTCAATATATTAATACG